ATGAGGAGCATAAATGAACTGACTAACTACATGAGCAACATAGGCAAGATCAGGGCGAGTAACCGTCAGATAAACTAAGCAACTCACGAGCTCTCGATACAAAGTAGGATCATCTAGAAGAACACCATCAGTAGTGGTGAGTTTCACATTAAGCTCAATAGGGGTATCAGAAATCTTAGTATCAGTAAGACTGGCACGATGAATAACCTCATTGGCATACTTAGCTTGAGATAGAAAGTAGCCATTGGGAGAAGAAGTTACCTCAATACCAAGAAAATATTGCAAGGGGCCCAGATCCTTCATTTCAAAGGTGCGGAAAAGATACTGCTTTACCTCAAAGATGGCAGAAAAGTCAGAGCCAGTGATGATCATATCATCCACATATAGTAATAAGGCAACAAATCCAGCAGAGGTGTGGGGAAGAAATAAAGCAGAGTCCTGAGCACAAGGATGAAACTCAAGCGCAGTAACAGCAGTCTGAAAGCGATCATATCAAGCATGAAGAGACTGCTTCAGATCATACAGAACATACCAAAGGCAACAAACCTGTCTAGAGGAATGGTAAAGGCCAGGTGGAGGACGCATGTAAACCTCCTCTATGAAATGGCCATTAAGAAAAGCATTCTTAACATCCATCTGATAAAGAGGCCAAAAACGAACAGCAGCAACAGAGATCAAAGTACGGATAGTAGTCATCTTGGCAACAGGAGCAAAGATCTCCTCATAATTAATACCATACTCTTATGAGAAACCTTTGGCAACTAGACGAGCTTTGTGGCGCTTAAGAGAACCATCAGAATGAGTCTTGATTTTGTAGACCCATTTGCAACCAACCAGATTATTACCAGTAGGCAAATAAACCAATTCCCAAGTGCTAGTTTTATGTAAAACAGACAACTTATCCTCCATATCTTGAACCCAATAAAGATCCTGACAGGCTTCCTTGTAAGACTGAGGTTCTGAAAAAGAGTGAATAGCAGACAAAAAAGTACGATAGGAAGCAGAAAAACATGTATTAGACCAACCCAACCTATTTGGAGGATGACGTGCTCGAGTAGGATATCGGTGCAGCAGGATCAGAGTCATCAGAAGCAGGGGCAGAGACAACTGGTGGAGGAGGAGCCTTGCGATGAGAATAAACTAACAACGGAGGAGGAGAAGAAACTAAAGGAGAAGCAACTAGAGGTGAAGCAGAAGGAGAAAATAGAACAAGCTCAGAAGGAACTATGGAGATGTATTCATCAGACGGGACTTCTGAAGGAAACGAGTCAATATGAACCAAATCTTCTTTGGAAACTGGAGTGGTCAGCGGAGGAAACTGAAAGTAAGGTAGACGTTCGAGAAATGCAACATGGCGGGAGACATAAAGGCGATGGGAAACAGAGTCATAACAGCGATAACCTTTCTGAGTGAGATTATAACCCAAAAAGACGCATAGGACAGACCGGGCACTAAGTTTTGTCCTATCTTTACGGGGTAAAAGGACAAAACAAGCAAACCCAAACACACGAAGGAGGGAGTAATTAGGAAGTTGAGAAAACAGAGCCTCATAAGGAGACCAACCAGAAAGAAAAGGGAGTAGGCATACAGTTGAGAAGAAAAATAGCAATAAGAACTATCTCACCCTAAAACGGAGCCGAAACGGAGGCAGAGAGAAAGAGAGACCTAGCTGTCTCAAGGAGATAATGGTGTTTATGCTTAACTTGACCATTTTGGGCAGGTGTATCAGTACAAGAACAAGAAGTTTGGTGAATGCTACCTAATTTAGCCAAATATTCACAAAATTCAGTTTTAAAGTATTCCCCACCCAAGTCAGACCGCAACAATTTAATAGTAGATCCAAACTGTGTAGTGACCATAGACTGGAAAGTACGATACTTCTGGTAGAAGTCAGACTTGTGAGTCATAAGAGAAACCCAAGTGTAACGGGTGTAGTTATCAACAAATGACACATAATATGCAGAACCCCTTTTGGTGAGAACAGAAGAAGGGTCCCAAACATCAGTATGAACTAAAGACAATGGTGTATTAGATATAGAAGTACTTTTATGAAAAGGTAAGGCTGTCATTTTGGCAAGTTTACACTTTCGACATTCAGTAAGTTCACTAGGAGAAACTTTACCCAATATACCAGAATGAACTAAAGACCGTAAGCGATCAGCAGACAAATGTCCTAATCTAGAATGCCACAAGTAGAAAGGACTAGATAGAGAATCTAACTGAAAATAGGAAAGGGTAGTCAGAGAGGTTGTCATAGGCAGATGCAAGTTCTCCACCACATAGTGGTCTCCAACTCTATGGCCGGTCCCAATTTGCTGCTTAGACATCCAATCCTGCACAGAACAGATAGAAAAAGAAAATATAGCATCAAAATTAGAGGCATCAAGCTGACTGATAGATAATAAACTAACAGATAACTGAGGAATATAAAGGACAAATAGAATAGAGACAACAGACATAGTAAACGGTAGGACAGACCCAACTGATACAACAGACATACCAGACCCATTAACAGCATTGACAGTAATAGGAAAGGGAGGAGGAGTACAATTTTGAAGTAAGGAGAGATAAAGAGTTATATGATGAGAGGCATCAGAGTAAAAAATCCAGACAGATGAAGAAATACCTGAAGAAGACCCAAGCAAACCTGAATGAAGCGAGGAAACAATGGAGGCAAATGGGGATGGCTGGGAGGTAGACAATATATGTTGAAGCTGACTAATCTGAGCAGTCAAGGAAGCCAAGTCAGGATCAGGAGACGGAACAGATGCAGTATACGTAGTGGGAGGAGCTCGTAATTGGTTCTGAGACTGTTAACAAGATAAGGTAGGTAGATGTCTCTTCTTGGGACAGTGGTACTTCCAATGGCCCCTTTGATGGCAGAAAGCACATTCATCTGAGGCAATGAGCCCCTTGTTGGGCTTTATAGAAACTGAAACCGTCATCATTATAATGAACCAAAAAAAAAAATAAGGAACTGTAATAAATTGAAATTTGATAGGGCAACAATGTAATAACCCCAAACCTGAGAGCTTCAAATATAATAACACCCAGACCAGATGGATTTCGTGGATTTCAGACCAGGGAGAAGTAGAAGAATTCGAGGCTGAGATGGACTAGAGACTTGCGAACCAAAGAGAAGTAGAAAAAGTCGACTCCAAATCATAAAGAGATCGCAAACCACGATGGGCATGGGTGTCACGATTCTAAACCAGAGGGAGAGAGAACTGTGCGAACAACTAGAGAGATGGACCAGAGACTTGCGAACGAGAGAACCAGGGGTTTCGAACTTTTGATAGACTGAACTAGAGATGGGTCGAAGTCTTGCAAACTCAAGATGGGTCACGAGAACAGATGGGTTGAACTCCAATGACCTAGAGAGCAATCTCTAGTGAACCACCAACCAAACTCAGATCGAAACTCAGATCCAAACCAATGGGTTTCGTGATTGCTGCTAAGGTTTCAAACATGACTCTGATACCATGTAAGTTTTCTGAATGTCTTTTCTGTGTATTGAATTGTAGCTAATACAAAGATTATAGCCAATATATATAGCAATCCTAATCCTAATTTGAAATAGGAAACACAATCAATCGAATCTAAAATAGGAAATACAATCAATCTACACAATCAATTTAATAATTCCATAAGTAACATAATATTCTCACAGGGATCGCGTGGGAGGGGTATGTGCAAAGGGATTTGGTTAGGGAGGGGTGAGTTTTGGGAAAGGGTGACTTTTCGGATGGGGAATGGGGAAAATGTCCGGTTTTAGAAGGATAGGTGGTATGGGGATAAGGTGTTGGCGGTGCATTTCCCTTTGATTTTTGGGATTACTATGGATTAAGAGATCACTGTTGTTGATTGATTGGGAAATGGAGAGCTGGTGGTTTGGGATGTTCAATTGCGACGTCCAGTTCAGGATTGGGAGGTTGGCCAACTGGAGGAGATGTTAAGTTTCTTATATGGGTTGGGCTTCACGGATAAGGGGGTGGATGTGGTTGTGTGGACTGCTTTGGGTACTAAAGGACAATTTTGTGTTTCCTCCATTTACAGGAGTTTGGTGGGGGAGGTGACAGGGGTATTTCCTTGGAGAAGTGTTTGGGTGCCGGGTGTTCCATTAAAGGTGGTTTTCTTTTTGTGGACGACAGCTTTGGGCCGGAATCTTACTATTGACAATTTGGTGCGTCGAGGACATGTATTAGTGAATTGATGTTGTATGTGTTGTGCAAACACTGAGTCTGTGAATTATTTGTTTCTTCATTGTGTTGTAGCATCTCGGCTCTGGGGGCTTATTTGGTCTGTGTTTGGGATCATTTGGGTGCAGCCAAAGAGGATGTTGGAGCTGTTGTGGAGTTGGCGTGGTGCCAGGATTGGGAGGCGACGCTGGTGAATTTGGTTGTTGGTGCCTTTTTGTTTAATGTGGTTGGTTTGGTTGGAAAGGAATCGACGTACGTTGCAAGAGATTAGTCATTCGGTGTCGTGGCTTGAGAATCGTTTGTTAGTTACTTTGTGTAGTTGGTTGGAGCAAAGGGTGGATCCGGATTTATTTGTTTTCCTAGATTTCTTGGATATTGTCATTGGTTAGGAGTTTTTAGTTTCACCTGTCGAGGATTTTTTTGTATTCTTTGCATCATCTTGATACTTTCTCAATAAACTTTTATTTATCAAAAAAAAAAAAAAAAACCCATAGTTTTTGGTTGTAGCATAATCCCATCTAATCCAGTCCAGCCAAAAAAAACATAGCCATTGTGTGTCATATCTCATTTTATTGAAGAGAAATGTACAATATGCTACAAGTCTGGTGAAACAGGAAAGCAGGTCCAATTGTGAAGTGGAACAAGTTATGAAATCTCCTTCTAAATCCTTCATTACAGAAACTTAGGGCCCAAATATGGTTGAATGGTTTAGATACCATTAGCATCCATGCCTTTAAACTAAAGATCTAGTAGCATTTATTTTTTCATGTGTTCTTCCGTCATAAGCATAATAAATGTTTAATTTCTCTATCTGAGGAAAAATATAATGATGAATGGATTGCAGGTGCATAATCTAGTTGCAGAAATTGTTGACTCCAAATTGGGAAAACAAGTAATTCTTCTTTTTTGCAGACTAATTATATTTCCATGTAAAAATTCATCTTCCTATCGTACTTGCTCAAGTTCAATTTTCATTTACCACTCTTGCAAATCCCTACAGATTTCAAGAATCAATCCAGCCCTCACTTACATTGCAGCTGAGGAAGTAATGAGCCTTGTGACAGCACAAGGTCTTGAGTTATTCCACTTTTTCTTTCTAATGTGTGTTAAACCAATTGAGGTTTCCATGTTTAAAGGTAATTTTCTGCTTGTGCATGACAGTGGCGGAGAACAGTGAATTGAATGAGGTGTGGAGAGACATTCTGGATGCTGAGGGTGACGAAATATATGTGAAGGTAAATGGGCTCTGTGGTGTAATTATTTTAATCTTTACATATTTGGACTAGGATGAAAAGTTGAGGATCAATGCATGGGCATAATAACACTTTTACATTATGCCTCTCTATGTGATGTGGCAATTTTTTATTTTTTTATTTTTTTATTTTTTTATTTTTTTATTGGGGGCGGGGTGTCCGGATCAAAGTCCGACTAATCCCTAGGAGTGCACAAGCGCTCGGCAAAACTGGAGAAGAGACAAAATATAAAAAATTTGGTAAATTACATGGAATAGGTCTCTCAGATGCAATGAATTACAGCTTTTGGATAACTCATCTTCTTGGTTCATCCCCCTCTGAATTTGAATTAATTGTCTAGCGAAGGAATTAAGTAAATTAAACAACTTTTGAGATATTATTAGGTTAGCTGGTTATTATTCATCAATAGTTTCTGTTTATTTTTTAAAAAAAGAAGATAGATCGAGACATCCTCATTGTGGGATTACCAATTTTGTTCGCACTACGGATTAGGACTATAGGTGCTCTTTGAACACCACATGACCATTCCAATTTTGAAATCAAGATCACTGGAAATTTTTGGTAATCATGCCTGAAAACATAGTTATTTTTTTCCAAAGTAACATCGAAAGCCCCTATGAGTTTTGACTTCTACCCTAACCAAGTTGGTAAGGGAGTAATTGGCATAACCAGGAAGCTTCAGTGGCTCTAATATGTTTATAATTAAACCATCTGTACATATATATATATATATATATTTTTTTTTTTTGAATAATTGATATGCTTGTGGGTTTATTATAGTATATTGGCCTCTACATGAAAGAGGGGGAGAATCCTTCTTTTGCTGAGCTATCTGAAAGGGCATATTTACGACGAGAAGTTGCCATTGGTTATGTGAAGAACAACAAGAAGGTATACCTTTTTTCATTTGGATATTCAATTGGAAACACTTATGTTGTGTTTGGTTGGGGGATTTGATGAGAGATTTGGAAAGAGAAATGAAAAATGTAGATAAAATATAAATAAAATATACTTACATTTCATCTAGTTTTACACATCTTTTTCCTTTCCTTTTCCAAATCCCTTCCTAAATCCCTGACCAAAACAGCGTTAGGAAATCTCTCAAATACCTGATTCTTTGCAGGTGATAAATCCACTACCCAAATCCGCACCTCTCTCCCTTGAACTGACAGATTCACTGATTGTAATATCCGAGCTTGAAGGAGAACAACCAATTCTTGAGTAAACTTGTACAATCTAATTTCCATACATGATTGCTTCTTGCTTTCTTTTATCCTTGCAGAGGAGCATCTTTGTTGTTTTCTCTTGGTTTGAAAAGATCCATTTCAATACTAAATAGGCTATGTTTGTGTCTTGCATTTGGTGGACAAAGCATACACGGGCTACATTTCAACTACTATACCTAGAAAGAATGATGCAGAAATTGAAACACAAGACGGGTACGAGAGCAACTGCTGTATCTTGTTTGACTATCTAAACTAGCAGCCAGTTATGATTTTTTAAATTCTTGGGCCCCTTTCAAATGGAAATTATTTTAAGTGAGGTTACTAAATAGTAAAAAATAACAGGAAAAAGAAAACTGGAAGTACCGTATAACAGATTCTTAAGCAAGAAGTGATAAATATGTGTTGATAAACCATTTGAGAAGGCAAGCTGTGAGTGATGGATATATCATGCCAATGCCATGGATGTATCAAACAAGTCAAATAATTCTAATAAAGTATATGCCTAACATTCTGAATATGTAGGTGCCTATAACAAAAATAAAAATAAAAAGTGAAGCGTTAGGTTGACATGTATGTCAAAATCAAAATTCTTTTGTTTTTATTTTCATCTTCTTCTTTTTTTTTCCCTTCTCTATTTAGTGAAATAACTAGGGCCCCTCATTATCTTACCGTACTGATTACCCCTCCGTCTGTATCAATAAATAATTTTTTTCCTCTCTATTATTTCACACCTTTTTTTTTATGTTGATTATCAAATTTAAACTGGTTTTTTAATTCTTTAATTTATCTTTTCATTTCATGAAAAAATTAAAGAAATTTTCTGTATTTTAATTTTAATTTTTTTTTTTTGTAAAAACAACTCACTTTATAAAAACCATCAAAAAGTTGTTTCAAAATTTTATAAACTGTTTTTGAGCAAAAAATTTTTAAAAAAAAAAGAGTTTTAAGTGTTGAGTGTTTTAGAACATTTCTTTCTTGCTTTCTTTTCTTTTTTCTTTTGTCTCCCAGAAAATATGTGAAATGCAAATGAAGGAGAAAACACAAACAAAAAGTCCATAACTATTCGGTAAATTACACTGGGCTTTCGTTTGGGATATGAATTAATTTTTTAATATTTTAATTTTTTTAGTTATTTTAGTCTGGGATTAAAAAGTCATTGGAATAGATATTTTGACTTTTTTACTTTTATAAGAGAAAAAATAAAATGATTATGATTTGAATATGATATTTTATCTTATTAATTTTTTAACTTATTTTATCTTTTTATAATTATTTTAATCCAAACTTTTTATACCAAACAAAGGCGGACAGTTCTTGGATACCTTTGAGATTACCACTTTCTAAACTACCACTAAACTCCCAGTCAACTAACACTTGACAACATGTCGAAACTTTGCTTGCTTTTAGTTTTTCAAAAATATTTTTTAAAAATTTTTACTTTCTTATTTTTTGTATTTTTTTGTTTTATTGATTTTTTTAATATTTAAACAATTTTTTAAATTTTTAAGCACATCTAATATAAATACACATAAAAGTATAATTTTTATGAAAAAAATATTTTAAAAATTCACTAAATATTAAAAATGAAAAAAAAAATGAGAATTCAGTATATTTTTCAATTTTTTATGAAATTATTAATTTTTTAAATATTTTTTCACAAATTTTTTACTTTTTAGATATATCTAAGTAAGGTGCATCTAAACAAGTAAAAAAAAATACTTAAAATTTTAAAAATATTCACTAAAAATAAAAAAACAAAACAAAAAATTCAATTTTTAAAAAATTTAATCTAAAAAACTCAAACTAAACACACACAAATAATGAGGGGGAGAAAATAACAATGAGAGGAGAGAGAATAAAGAAGAATGAGATATAAGAGGTGATAATACATGACTCTTATTTGGGAGGTAGGTTGACTTTTTTATTTTTGAATTTTTTTAGCTTAGGGTTAAAAAGTCTTGTTTGTGATGAATTTTTTTGATTTTTTAAATTTTTTTGAGAAAAAAATAAAATAATTATAATTTAAATGTGATATTTTATCTTATTAAATTAAATATATATTTTATATTTTTTTTGACTAAGGGGTTGTTTGGGGTGTCCTAAATAAGTGTATTTTTGTCTTTTTAGACTAAAAAATTGAGGAACAAAATATTGATGTTTAGGTTAACTTTTTTACTTTTTATGGAAAAATGTGTAATAAAAAATTGTAAAAATTGATTTGTAGAGAAAAATTTGAATTGGGAGTTGTGCAGCCGTAATTGTTGACTTTTGATGAATAGTGTTAACTTTTTAACTTTTTGAGTAACTTTTTAACTTTTTTACAATATGCCAAACTTGATCTAAAATAGCTTTAATCCAACTTAACCCAAACTTTCATGCCAAATATACCCATAAAGTATTGAAGATTTTTACCAATTGTTAGTGGGAGACGATGTTTCGGGGGGAGAGAATGAAAAGTGGAAAGTAAGAAAATATAGAAGATTTTTGTTAAAAGAAAATAATATATAAATTTCACTTTTTAGATTTATTTTCTAAAAAAATTTAGCTATAAACTCTTTTTACCTTCTTTTCATTGTTAAAAGGACTAAAAAAAAAATTATACTTTCTAAACATTTTTATAATTATAAAGTCTTGCATAAATGACAAAATTTATTATTTAAATATTTTATATGACTATTATACCCTCAGCTTCTGTATATATAATCAACTTCGTCATCAACTGTATCATAATCACCATAATCGTGTCTTCGAAGCTTCAGCAGAAGGTCGGCGGCACCATAGTCGCGTCTTCCAAGCTTCAACAGATCAAATTCATTGAAACAATATGTCACGACCCAAACCCGGCCCTATGGGTTTAGCACCGTAACCGGCCAGTAATCTGAGATTACCGAAGGCCTGCTTAACAGTAATACAGTAAAACAGAGTACAGGGCCTGGCGGAAGCCAATACAGTAATTAAACAATGTCCAATGAGCTGTGACAGTCTGTATGCAAAAGAGATTTTTCATGCATTCATACATAAACAGTACAGAAAGCATTCCGTCTGTACAAAACAGTACGGTCTATACAGAATTTACAGTCACTCAAGAAGGGGGAAAAACAAACAAAACACCCCCAAGCCATAGCATGGCAACTCGGAACCTCGCAGTGAGGCACAAAGGCTGGCTTGACAAAACTGGAGTAACCCTGACGCCTCTAGCTGCGGTCTGGTGCCTGCACACCTACATATATATATGAGCAGTGAGCTAAAGCCCAGTGAATAACATAAAGCGTAAAGGGGTTTAGAATGAATG